GATGGAGACAGGGACAGGGATGGAGAAAGATATGGGGTGCAGAAGGAAGGAGAAGTAGACGGATGGGGATGAAGGTAAGGACATGGATGCAGACAGGGATGGGGATGTAGGAAGGGATGGGCATGCAGGATGGGGATGGAAACAGGGACAGGGATGCAAACAGGGGTGGGGATGCAGGCAGGGACAGGGATGCAGGCAAGGGTGGGGATGCAGGAAGGGATGGAGATGCCATGCTCCACTCCAGTGGACACCACAGCCTCTGCCCAGAGCACAGTGGGATCCAGCCTGGCCATAGTTCTCCATCCCCCCAGCCCCTAACGAAGGCTCAGCAGTCACTAATTGCTTGGGACACCCCTCGGGGTGCGGGGGGAGACTGAATGTTCCTCCCCCGGCAGCTCTGCTGGCGATGGCTCCAATTAGCCTCGTTATCCTGCGTCGCTGCTGATTAGGGGCCGGGTAATTGCCCGGCGTTTGGTGTCCCTTAGAGCCACATGGCAGCAGCTATTGCATAAGCACTGGGCAGGCGTTACGTGAGCCGTGAGCGAGTCAGGCCAGCCCAGGGGCTCCGGTTACACCTGGCCCTGCTGCCCCCTGCTCCCGGCCTCGGGCGGTGACAGGGACAGCCCTGCACGGACTGCAGGACTCAGGGGTGCGCCCCACTGCTGCCTCAGTTTCCCCCCTCGCTATGCTCTGCTTTGCACTCACAGTGTGTCTGAACGACACCCACCCTGCACCCACAGCCCCACGGCCCCACAGCCCCACACCACCACCCCGTGACCCCATGGCCCCACACCACAGCCATTTTCCATGGCCCCATTACCCCATGGCCCCAGAGCCCCACACCACAGGCCGTGCCCGTGCCAGCCTTTGCATAAGCAGCAGCGAGGTGCAGTGACTCACAGCACTGCAGCGGGGCCACGTGCCCAGCACCATGCCTGATCCCACTGGCTGCCAGGACTGGCACAGCTGGCAAAGCCACATCTCGTCCCCGTGGTCTGAGGGCACTGCCCTGTTTGCTTTGGCACAGCTGAGGGACCCTCATCCTGCACCACTGAGGCACTTCAGCAGCAGGGTGGGGAGGAAGGCTGGCACTGGCACCGTGGAGAGGACAAAGCAGTGGGACCCAGCCCCAGAGCAGGGGGTGCCCCCTTGCATCACCCCCACAGCTGGGGGACACTCAGGGGCTGCAAGTGCTGCAGTTCTCCTGCAGCTCTCCCGGCCCCCGCTGCTGCCCCTGCCCCCAGCCTGATATGGGGGACATGGCTGGGCCCTCATCCAGCTCAGGGATTGAGGGACAGGACCCTCATCCTGCCCTGGGGCTGGGGGACAGGACTCTCATCCAGCCATGGGATTGAGGGACAGGACTCTCATCCAGCCATGGGATTGAGGGACAGGACCCTCATCCAGCCATGGGGCTGGGGGACAGGACTCTTATCCAGCCCTGGGGCTGGGGGACAGGACCCCCATCCATTCCAGGGATTGAGGGACAGGACCCCCATCCAGCCCAGGCACTGGGGGACAGGACTCTGCCCAGTGTTGGGGCTGGGGGCTGTCGTGGGGCACATCCCCCACCTGAGGATGACATGTGGGGACACCAGTGCTGTGGCCCCTGTCAGTGGGTTCACCCCGTGACCCACTCCCTGCCGGGCAGGTCAGCCATTCCAGATGGGAAACTGAGTCACGGCAGGCGCCTGGCAGTGCCCCTGGCAGGGAGCCCACGGCAGGGACACCGCGGGTTCTGGCTGGCCCAGCCGGGGCTCGCCCAGCTCGGGGCTGCTGGCCCAGCCCTGGCGGTGGTCCCCGAGCTGGGTGAGGGGCTCTGGGTGAGGGGTTCTGGGTGTGGGACGGGCGATGCTGGCAGAAGGTTCCCCTCTCGCTGGGCGGGGCCCGAGGGAGAGCAAACAGTGATTAAGGCGCGATGGTGTCATCCGGAATTCCTGCTCACCTCCGGGCCAGCCGGGGGCCGGCTGGGCTGATCCTGGTGGCACAGCCGTGCCAGCGGTGGCCACTTCAGTGCTGCCACAGGTTGGCATGGCCCCACCGTCTGCCCTGGCCCTGATCACAAAGATTTGGCAGCGAGGCTGGGGCAGGAGGAGAAGTGCTGCAAGTGTCAGGTTTTGGGTCCTTATCCCCTCCTGATGGCCATTTCCTTCCTTTGCCACTGGTGCCACCTGGGCTGGGCTGAATCCAGCCCCGCTGGACCTGTCCCCCAGCATTGTCCCGGTGGGTGCAGCTCCTGGCACAGAGTCTGGGCCTGGCACCACGCAGGAACCAAAGGCAGCTCTGGCCCTCCAGCCCCACTGTTCCCATCACCAGGAGCAGCACCAGGAGATGCTGGGGTGAGGGTCTCTGCACCAAGCAGCTGAAAGGAGCTGCACCAGCTCCTGTCACTGCGTGGGGAGGGGGAGAGGGGGTTTAGGGGACCTACTGTGACCTCCACTGCTGCCACAGCTGAAACAGCCCTGGTCAAGGCCACTTCTCTCATAAGAACAAATGTTACTCCAGGGGCTCAGCCAGCAGTGAGCTGCATCCACCTCCCTCTGGCTTTCCTGGGACCAGGACCCCAATTTAAACCCAGCCAGGTCCATGGGGTGAGACCCTATCATGAGGAAAAGGGATCCTGCTCTGGTAGAGCCTCTCCACCTCCACCCTTGTTGCCCTAAAACCGTGGGGCTGAATCCCAGATCTGCAGCACCCAGCACATGCTCAGGTAACCCTGCAGCATCTCCTTCTCCCCTGGGCCTTTCCCCGGGCCGTTCCCGAACCTGTCGGTGCCAGAGCAGACGCAGCACACGAAGGGTTAAAGGGCCGGCGGCGGGAGCGGGTGCGTGGATGGCTGCGTGGGTCCCGCGTTGCTCACGGCAGGTGTGGTGCCGCTTATGTAACCTCATACTTTTGGGTTGCGCTGAGCACTCGGGGTGTATTTTCGCTCTCGCTCTGGCGCGATTCAGCCGCGACTGTCCCAACAGCCGCAATCGGCGACCGCCTTTTGGGAGGGGCGAGTCCCCGGGGCCGGACCCTGCGTGCCACGAGGAGTCACTGCGCTGCTCCCGCTCTCAGTTTCCCCATCTGAAATGGGGCTAATGAGGGTGACCTGCTTCGGGCAGCTCCCGTGACCCCGGGGGACGGCAGCGGCCTCGCCGCGCGGGGGCTGCCCCCGGCCGGGGCCGCTCGGGATGCGCGCCGGGGTGGGAGCTCTGCCTCCATCCGGGGCCGCGCTCGCAGGAGCCGCGCTGGAAGCAGAGCCTGCGAAGAGCGAGGCGAGACGTCGCCCCTCGTCCCGTCTGCGTGCCCATCCATGCGGAGCAGGCAGGAAAGCCGGGAGGAAGGAGCGAATCCGGCCTGCGAGAGCAGCGAACCCGTTCCCAATCGCCATCAGCAAAATCATGTCAGACAGCAGCACTGGAGCGCGCTCGGCCCCTCCGCCCCCGGCCCCGGCCCCCTCCCCGCCGCAGCCGCTCCCGCGCCGGAGCAGAGCCGGGCGGTTCTCGGCGCAGGGGTGGGAGCACACAGAGTGCCACCACGGCTCAGCCCCAGCGTCCCTCGGCCACTGCCACCTGCCTGTGCCCGAGCAGGGGGACAGCTCCAGGAACATCAGGGGAGCCCCTCTGCCAGCGGCCCATTGGCAGCTCTGCAGCCCCGGCTCAGCCCAGCGTTTGGGATGGATGTGGGCTGAAATTTCCCCCTTCAGCTGCCATTAAAATTGTTTGATTGAGCGCTGAGAGGCTGAGGTGTCCCCTCAGGGCCCAGCTGCGAGGGCAGGAGGCCATCCAGGGAGGAGGCAGTGTTGCCATGTGCAATGATGGTGATGGTGGCTGCATCTGTGCCTCTGGTGGATGTTCTGTCCACGTCCATGGCTGATGTGGCTGTGCCATGTTTGTGACCATGACTGGATGCCATGCTCATGGCAGATGCCACACTCATGCTGGTGGCAGATGCTACATCCATGCCTGTGGTGATGCCAGGTCCCTGGCCATGGTGGATGCCAGATCCGTGTCTGCAGTGGGAGCAGTTCTCATGCCTATGGCAGATGCCTTCTCCACACACATCAGGTCTCCAGGCCAGTGCCACTGTCCCCAGGCATCTCAGGGCACTGCTGAGCACTGACCCTGGCACCTGAGCACTGGCCCAGCATTGCCAGGACCAAGTGCCTCCACCCTTGTGATGTGGCACCAGGGAGGACTCTGGTGACCTGGTGCACCACAAACCCCAGCCAGGGGACTTTGTCCCGTGCCAACACCTTGGGCTGTGCACGGCGAGGCTGCCTTGTGTGGTCCAGAGCCACCATCTCTTTGCATGTCTTAGGCAGTGTCCCTTATCCAGGGTACAACCCCGGGCCCCAAAACCACCTGTGCCTATCTCAGCATGAAGGACGGGGTGGGAATGCCTCCCTGCCACCTTCAAAGCTTCCCACTACTTCCACTGTGCCATTCCCGACCCGCAGGGCTCCTAGGTGGGATGTGCCCCCAGACCTCAGCATCTGCACCCTGGCATGGGCACACTGGGCAGCCGCACGGGGGTCCCCGTGCTCCCCACACCCCCCCGGTGCCAGGGGCTGCCCCTTCTGCAGAGGTCCCCCGCCCTGTCCTGTCCTGTCGTGTCCTGCCGGGGGTTTTTTTGTGGTCCCCGCGCCGAGCGGGGTCCCTGGCGGGGACAGCGGGGCTGCACGGGAGCGAAGTGAAGCAAGGCAGCAGTGATTCAGCGGGACACGCAGCCGGCCCCGTGCCTGGGCGAGCCGGGGCAGGACGGGCACCGGCACGTCCCTCCCGGGGGCGGGCAGCCCCGGGGGCAGCTCCGAGCCGCCACGGCCGGGCGGGGGTCGCGCAGACCCCGGTCCCGGGCAGGCGTCGGCAGCGCCCGCGCAGCGCCGAGCACCGGGCGGCGGAGCGGCGGGGATAGGGATGGAGCAGGAGGAGGAGGAGGACGAAGGGCAGGAGGTGGGGCTGGAAGTGAAACCGATTGGGGGGGGCGGGGCGGGCTCGTCATGTGAACGGCCGCATGCTCGGGCAGAAGTGGGTCACGGCGCGGCGGAGGGGCAGGTGCCAGAGCCGCCCGGTGCCGCCCGGTGCTTCCCGGTGCCGCCCGGTGCCTCCCGGTGCCGCCGCTCCCCGCCGCGCCCCGCGCCGCTCCGGACCCCCGCGCCGCCCCATGCGCCCCCCGGCGCCCTGACCGCGGCGGACACGATGCGAGGTGGGTCCGGGAGGCTGGGGGCTGCGGGGGGCAGCGGCAGAACTTGGTCCCGGTGTGGATCGGGGAGACCCGCGCCAGCCTGGCGGAGGGGGACGGGGAGGACCCGACGCCAGCCCGGACGGGGACACGGGGGAACCCCGCCGGTGGGGGACGGGGGGACTCGGTGTCAGCCCGGACAGTGACAAGGGGGGACCCTCATCAACTTTGCTGGAGGGGCGCGAGGGGAGCCGTATGAGCCCCGCGGAAGGGATGGGAAGGACCCCGCAGCAGCCCCACTGGGGACACGGGGGGACCCGCATCAGCCTCGCTGGAACGGGACAAGGGGGGACCCGCACAAGCCCCGCCGAGGGAAATAAGGGGGGAACCCGCACCAGCCCCGCCGGGGCCGCTCTGCCTCCTCCAGCTCCCCCTTCGTTAGGAATAAAATTCTTGTTTATTTTGCTTTGCTTTCCGACGCCGGCTTAGACGCACTCTTAAGCTTTTTCCCGCACTAAACCCCTTAATCTCCTCTTCAATATGTTGCTCCCACCAGGGCTGGATTTATTGTAGTTTTTCCCCCCTTTTTCCCTTCCTCACGGTGTGGGGGGCAGTTTGGGAGGCTTCTGCAGGAACGGGCAAGGGATCAGGTGCAATTTTGGGTGCCCCTTTTCCAGGGCAGGGGTGAGTTGTGCCAGCACCTGCTTGGTTTAACCCATTACCAAAGGCAATTCCTACTTTTCACCCCTCTGCTTTGCCTAGCAGGCGGTGGGGAGGAGGAGGATGGAGGGAGGAAGGCTCCAGCAGGACAATCCAGCGGGGCCTGGTGATGGTGACGCAGTGGTGGCCAGACTCAGCTCTGTTCCCAGCGTGCTGGGCTGGGATTTTCATCCTCCTTTAAATCATTTTTCCATCATGCCCTGCCTTCCCTGAGCCCTTTGCCTTGCCAGGACTCCCTCGTGCCCCTCCGTAGGAGTGTTTTGGGGGTGCAGGTCTTTAGGCTCATTTTGGGGTGTGGGTACCAAGACGTTCATCCCGAGCTCCTCAAATCCTGTTTCCTCCCCGCACCGCGGGTGCTGCAGCTCTGCCCTCGCCGCACTCTTGTGTAACAGTGGGGCCGGGTGGGTGAGGAGGGCGAGGCGAGCCCCCCACATCCCCTTCCTGCCCCTCGACATCCTGGGTTTTCACCTTTATTAGGACGGAGGGAAGCATTAACGCCTGCCTAATTGCGATCACGCCTGGCTCTTACGTAGCACTTGCACAGCCAGCACCGGTTTAATTAGCAACTGGGCGAACTTTTCCTTTTTAAAAAATATTTTTCCTTTCCCCGCATGAATTGCTGGTGTTGACCCTAATTTGGGGCCGAGCCCTCCTGATATCCCACAGTTCCCCCCAGTCGGGCGTTTTTCCCGCAGTCCCGCGTCCTCATCCCTCTCGAAGCCCAAATGCCGCATGGCGACGCCAAATTGATTCAATCTCCATTTTCCTTCCCAAAACCGCCACCGCTCTGCCCCATTTCCCCGGGGGCCACAGCAGCTCCTCGCTCCTGTCCTTCCCTGCGCCGCGGCTGCGCCGGGGCCGGGGAAGAGGCTTTGCCTTGTATAATCCTATACGATTTCCAGCCCTCCTGCTCACTTGTTTTGCAAGCAGCGTGGCGAGGAGCGTGCGGTGGCTCGGCAGCCTTTGCGACTTGTCCTAGTGACCTAGATCTGTCATTGGAAAAATCAGAGAGTGCGGAGGAGGAGCTTCCCTGCCCGTTTCGGCGGCGTGCACACGCTGGCGCGGCCGAGGGCGGCCGGCACCCACCGGCCCTCCCGCACGACGGCCGCGCCCGGCCCCGGTACCGGAGCGCGGGGATGGCAGTGCCTGCCGCTCCCCAAAAAACCAGCCTGGAGGAGAAAGCTGTCCGCTGGCTTTATAGGGTCCTGAGAAGTCCAGACGGGATTTGGGATCCCCCACGCTGATAACCCCAGGGAGAGTCAGCACCAGGAGGGGAGAGCAGCGGTGGGGGCCGGCGGTCCCTGTCCCCAGCCCAACGTCCCTGTCCCTGCTGCCTGTCACGTTTAACTTTGAACTCGCGGCGGCTATTTAAAGAGCTGCTAATGTCTAAATCAGCCCGGTTTATCGGATGTGGTGAGCAGAGCTGCTCTCCTGCCTTTTTTTAGCCCCAGGGAGATAATTCCCCCCGGTTTAGCAGCAGTGCCGGAGGGGTTCTCCCACCGCAGCCCGGTTTGTCCCCACCCCGGGCTGCAGGTCCCCCTCCCCGCTGCCTCACCTTTGCCACCCTTCTGCAGCAGGCAAAGTGCAAAGGGCTGCGTCCTGCGCCGGCGGGGCTGGCCTTGGCACGGTGCTGCGTGGCACGGGAGCTGCTGAACCGGAGCTGCTGAACCGGAGCGGCCCGGGCAGGAGCCCGGCGGCCCCGGGGGAGCCACATCGCCCACCCGGCGCTGCGACTTCCCTGTTGGGGGCACTGCACCACGGGACAGGGAAAAACAGCGCTTTGCTGGGGACTGGGGAGAATGCAAAACCTCCGTTCGCGTGCCTGCAAAGGAAGGTGGCCAGGGGTTGCCCCAGGGCAGGGTGAGAACAACTGAGCGCTGTTCTGGCCCAAAGTTTCCAGGAAATCTTTGCTAATCACTTAGGAAAGCAGTTCCCCCTCCAGAATCCCAGCCCGGCACGGGCCATGATTGTGTCATCTAAATTTTCCCTACTGCCCACTTGGCCTCGGTGTCCCTGTGCCTGGAGCCGGGGCTGAGAACACCCAGCATGGGCCTGGCTTGTTTGGCGTTCCCCGGGGGCATGGATGGGGATGGGATTTTTTGGCAGCCACGGCTGAAGTGCCGGGGTGCTGGGAGAGCCCGAGGCACTGCAGCACTGGAGGCTGTTTAATAGCAAAGCCAACAGCAGATATAAAGGGGTGATAACTCCCTTTATTTCCTTGTTTATTCCTGCCCCAACAGCAAAACTGTGGATGGTGGCTGTGGGGAAGCGCAGTCACTCCTGGGGCTGGAGGTTGCTGCAGGGGATAAAGGTGAAGAGCTGGGTTTTAGGGCAGGAATGGGAAATGGGGTGATATTTTAGGTCCCTGCAAATCCCTGTGGGTCCCTGCGTGTCCCTGTGGGTCCCTGTGCAGCCTGGACTCATCCCCCTCTCCCTGCTCTGGCTGCACCAGGGGGATGCTGAGTCCCCCTGGAAGGGGAGAGGTGGTGGAGGTGAAGCACTGGAGCACCCCGGTGCCCTGGCTGGGGCTGGGGGATCCGGGGGGCTGCAGGGCTGCTGCCAATTACCAGGGGTGCCCATCCTGCAGCATCGATGGAGCCTGGCAGAGCAATGGGGCACGGAGCTGCTCTCCCAGCAGATTCACTGGGTAATGAGCCAGGGCACTGGGGAAGCACCGGGGGGTATTTGGGGCAGGGATGGCCCCAGAGGCACGGAGCCACCTCTGAAATACTCAGAGCTGGGGTGCTGCCCCACTACCTCCAGCAGGGACACCATGGCCTCATGTGGCCCCCAGGGGAGGAAGGGGTGGCCATATTCTGTCCCTGTGGGATGACGGCTGTGCAGGCTCACCCTGGGGGACTTGCAGGGATCTGCCAGTGCATCCCAAAACAAACCCCTCCCAGGAGTCCTCACCCCCCAGCCAGGGGCACCCAGTTATGCTGATGGGGAGGGGGAAACAGCTCCAAAAATTCTCCAGCAGCAGTGGGGTCACAGCACACCCCAAGGTTAATGGGGTGCTGAGGGTTTTGGGGTGATTCCCTCAAAGCAGTGAGATCATACGGCCGAGGGGAGGGACAGGAGGAGGAGGAGGAGGATGGGGCCACCATCCTCCCTGCGCCACAGAGGAAGGGTCCGGCCCCCCCGTGGCTGCGTCCTGCCTTGTTTTGTTTTGGGGTGCAAGAGATGCCCGCCCTTGGGGCGGAGGCGATGGAGGGGAGGGTGTGCCGGCCGATTCCTGCTCCGGGGAGGGCGGTTCTGGCTCTGCCGAAACCACCGGAGCCTCCAGCACGGGCTGGGGTGAGCGGTGCTGGGCTGGAGGGGACACACACAGCCAGGTCTGGGGGGTGACAGGCGACCTGGGCGCTGTGCAGGGACACACCTGTATCCCTCACCTGGAGCTGCAGCTCAGGGTGACAGATGGGTGCCCCCAGCTGGACGTATCACCCCAAAATCCCCGCTCCCGGTGGCGGGAGGTCGGGGTGCCGCCCTGAGCACCAGCCCGGCCCGGGAGCGGCCGCGGGCCCGGAAGGGTTAACGGCCGTGGTTACACAAGCGCGCGTGGCCACGGGCAGAAAGTGTGTCAGTGGGACAGGATGGCTCCGAGCGCGGGGCAGCGCAGCCGCCGCTCCGGGGGCCATCGCCCCGCCACGGCCGGGGCCCGTGGCCGCACCGTGCCACAGGGCCACTTACATAAGGGCCGGCCGGTGGCAGCGGGCCGGGAGTTGGGCAAGAAGTGTTTACAGTGGGAGGAGAGCAAATACCACCGCCGGGACATTTTAATTGCCGGCTGGAGATCATTATTACTTATTTTTTTTAACCCTTTCGTTGTTTCTTTTATCCTGATCTCTGTTTTAGCCCCATCGGCCCCGGGGTGGAGGTTCCTTGCTGCCTCCCCCAGAGGGGAAAAGGTTCACCCCCCCCAAATGTCCCTCCCTGTTCGCAGTGTGGCCGGTGGTGGCACGGTTGGAGGAGATGCTCAATTCTCTGGTGGGGAAACTGAGGCACGGGGGTGGGTGGTGGTGGTGGTGGAGGAATATCCGGGATTTGGGGTCTACTGATATGTTTTCCCTGATCTCAGTGAGATTTGGGGGATGTCAGAGCTGCTGTGGCCACTGCACCCCCACCCACATTCCTTCCTGTACCCCAAATCCTGGGGATTTGCCCCAGGAGTGTGTGTGGGGGTCGCAGGGGAGATGGGGGGGTGGTCGGGCCGCCTCGGGGGTCCATGGCTGCGGCACGAGGGGACACTGATGGAGCCGACTCGGTGATTCAGCCGGGTTTACAATCAGAGCAGCAATTAACCGTGCCGGGCTGTAATTGCCATCGCCAGGTTACGGCCGTATCTCCACGTCAGTTATTTGGGGCGAGCGTCTTAGAGCGGGTCAGGTGCCAGTGGCGGGCACGGCCGGCTAATTAGCAGGATGATAATTAGAGCCCCAAAAGGCTGCGGGCACACGGCGGGTGGTCAGGGCTTGTCCTTGGCCAGGACAGCACCATCTCCATCACCCTCAGCTCCAGCCCGGGGGCTCTGGGCAGGCGGGATTTGGCCCCCGGCATTACACGAAGCCTTTGGGATCGTTGGGGTTTTTGGGCTGGCGTCGCTGGGCTCTGCCGGGGGCTGCCGGCGGTCCCGGGCCGCGCTCAGCCCCGGTGTTTGCCGGTGCCGGTAATTCCGGGTACCGGAGTATCGGCCGCGGGCGTGAGGGCGCGGCGGGCGCGATGCATCACCCGCGCTGCCGGCGGCTGCAATTAACGTTGCATAACGAGCCGACGCCGCTTCCTGCCGGGGGTGGCACCCCTTCCCTGTGCCCCCCGCCATGCCACCACCTCGGTGCCATCCCGGGACAGGGCTCGGGGCACGGTGGTGGGGAGGGGAGCGGTCCCTGCGGTCCGGCAGCGTGGGGGAAGATGGCAGAGGGATCCAGGGAATTGGGGGTGTCTTGGTCATCGGAGCTGGGTGGTGATTTGGGGGTGGCCACGCGTGGCCCTCCTGGTGCCTCCATGCCCCTGCGAAAGGGGTGGTGCTGGGGCTGCGGTGTTGGTGCAGCTGCGGGGGATGTGAGGATGCCCTGGACATCCCTGCCCTGCCCACCGCGGGGAAACCAGCTCTGCTCTCCCAGGCTCAGAACCACGGCAGAGGCGTAGGCAGAGGATGTGGGGAGGGGCAGGGATGGGATGCGACTCCCTCGAGTCGGGGGACAAGACACAGCCCTGGGAGAAGCCCAGCTCAGCAGTCTGGGGGAGGAGGGGTAAGCCCCAAAACCACCTGGTGCATGTGGGGCATTAGGTTAATCAGTGAGCCAAAGGATTCAGGAGGGATCTGTTCCTCCACTTACACCTGGATTGGGAGTGAGTCCTTCCCCAGAGCTGCCGAGAGCAAACCTGCCCCAGGGGATACTGTGGTGGCATCGCCGGGGGGGGGTACCAATAGCATCCCTGGGGGTACCAATAGCATCCCTGGGATACTGAGCATCCCTGGGGGTACCAATAGCATCCCTGGGATATTGAGCATCCCTGGGTGTACCAATGGCTCCCCTGAGGGACAGAGAGCATCCCTAGGAGGGACCAAGGCCATCCTGGGGGACTGAGCATCCCTGGGGGATCAATGGCATCCCTGGGGGACCGATGGCACCTCGGCTGCCCCTCTGCCCAGTGAGGCTTCAGTGCCCCATCCCAGCCTCCCACAAGCAGCAAGGGACGCCAGGACCCCGCCAGGTGCTGGGGCACAGGTGGCACTGGCCGAGCACTGGGATTGTCACTCACAGAGGTGGCCCTGCAGAACACATCTCTCCACCAGAGCCGCCGATGGCTCCCAGGGGAGAGGAGAGGCAGAAGGGAATTACCCAAGCAGGGATTTGCACAGGCCCAGGGGATTGGAAATAACCATAATCTGGCCGTGGGGGTTATTTTGGCGCGGCGGTGGCTGCCCAGCACCCTCGAGAGCGCCGCCAGGCTGAGCCCGGCCGGGGCTGCGGGGGCTGGGGCGGGGATTAGAGGGTGCAGAGATGCCGGGAGGCACGTACGAGCCCCGGAGGTGCCGTGCATCCCCCCCGCGTGGGTCGGGAGGGCAGAGCCAGCCCAGATCTGGGGCAGCTGGAAAATGAGGAGGACGAAGCCTATTAGCAGCTCAGTGCCAGCGAAGCAGAAGCGGGGAGGGAAGCGGATTTGTGGGGGGGAGGGGGCCGGGACCTTGAGCTGGGGATGGCTATATCGGTCCTGGGTTTCAAAGGAGCTGCTGGGGGGGTGCGGGGGGGCCCAGACCCTCTGCTTGGGCCAGACATCCAGCAGCAGAGCATCTGCAGCTGCAGGGATGCGGATGGTCCCTGGGCCGAGGCTGTCCCTGTCCTGGTGCACACATCAGTTGAAAAATAAGGGGAGTGATTCCAAAACAGGGTCCTGGGCAGGCTGGGGCAGAAACGTTCTGTGCTCTCCCAGATCCAAGGGCTTTCCTACCCTGGCTCTTGCTGCTGGGGAATGGGGATACCCCATGCCCTGTGTGAACCTTTTAGGGACCTCTCTGAGGTGCAAGAATCCTTGTGGCATCTGTGGGAAGGGCTGAGCTGTCGCTGGGTCCAGCTCTCGTGCCTCAGTTTCCCCAAGCGCTGAGCCAGCCCACGGCTGTCGTGGCCGGGGGCCACCTCCCTCCTCCCTCTCAGCAGTGACCATCATTAACGCCCGCGGTTTCCCCTCTTTCCCCACCCACCGCAGCCCAAATCGAGGTGATCCCGTGCAAGATCTGCGGAGACAAATCCTCAGGGATCCACTACGGTGTCATCACCTGCGAAGGCTGCAAGGTGAGCCCGGGGAGGCCGGCTGCGGTAGGGGGGGCGGCCCTGCTTCCAGCCGGGCGCTTTCCCAACTCCTCCCGTCCCATCCCGGGCAGGGTTTCTTTCGGAGGAGCCAGCAGAACAATGCCAGCTACTCCTGCTCCCGGCAGAGGAACTGCCTGATCGACCGCACCAACCGCAACCGCTGCCAGCACTGCCGCCTGCAGAAATGCCTGGCACTGGGCATGTCCCGCGACGGTGAGTGGTGCCCCGGGGTCCCCAGGGGCCACCTGCTCCTCCTCGGAGCGAGTCAGGCACTCAGGATGAAGCTGCTCCCCCCAGGGCCAGCATGGTGCGAGGAGGGTTTGGGGAGCAAGAAATGCTTTTGTGTTTTCCGCGGGAAAATCGAAACTGGTTCTGTTTGGTTTGACCCAGGGTTGGTCTGGGACGGGGGGGGGGGGGGGGATGCCCGGGGTTGGGGGGGGGGGGGGGGGGGGGGGTGCATCCAGTGGGGTGCCAGCCCCGCTGGGGGCTCAGAGACCCCCAGACCGGGCTCTCCCCCGGGAGCCAGGGCGTTGGGCTGTCGTGGCTTTGCCCAGGGGGCGAAGCTGCCCTGACACCGCCTCTCCCCTGGGGCAGCGGTGAAGTTCGGCCGCATGTCCAAGAAGCAGCGGGACAGCCTCTACGCCGAGGTGCAGAAGCACCAGCAGAGCCAGGAGCAGAGCGGCGGCACCAAGGACGAGCCCGAGCCCCTGAGCCGCGTCTACACCACGAGCGTCAGCAGCGGCCTCTCGGACCTGGACGACATCTCCACGCTGTCCGACGGGCTCCTCTTCGACTTCCCCCTGACCCCCGACGGCAGCAGCACCTACTACAACCTGGACCTGCTGGCCTCGGCGCAGCCCTCGCCTGACCAGTCCAGCCTGGACGTGGCTGATGCCACGCTCATCAAGCAGGAGTCCATCTACGAGCTGATGCTGGAGCCGGCGCTGCTGGCACACGGGGCGCTGGAGGGGGCCCAGCTGCCCCCTGACATCTCTGTCCTGGAGATCGGTGAGCACCGGTGCAGTGCAGGGCAAGCATGGGGGGTGTGTGGCCCCGAGGATGGTGCCTGAGGTCACCCCAGCACCTTGCAGGACACCCCCAGCTCTGGGGACACACACCTGCTCTAGGGGAGGGTGTCTCTGCCCATGGCAGGGGGTTGGAATGAGATTTAAGATGAATAAATGGATGGAATTTAACCTTCCAACCCAAACCATTCTGGGATTCTGGGACTCAAAGATGAGCCCAGCCTCAGCTCTTGGAGCAGCCCCAAGGCTCCCTGATGGAGCTCAGCACACCCAAGGTCATGTGGCACATCCCTGCTTGCTTCAGGCTCAGCTCCTGCTGCCCCATCTGTCCTCACACCCCCGTGACACAGTGTGAGAGCCCCATCACCCCTCCAGCCCCATTGGTGAGGACAGGGTTGGGGTCCCCAGGTCTCACTGCCTGCTGTCCCCACCCTGCAGACCGGGTGGCCCAGAACGTGGTGAAGTCGCACCTGGAGACGTGCCAGTACACAACGGAGGAGCTCAAGCGCCTGGCGTGGAGCCTCTACTCCCCTGAGGAGGTCCGTGCCCTGCAGAGCAAGGTGAGTGCCACTGGCACAGCCCCCTGGCACAGCCAGTGTCCCCTGGGCTATGCTGGGTGAGGAAGGTCTGTCAGTGCTTTGGGAGCTGCCCAGATTGGGAATTTGCTGTCAAAGCTCACACCCCAGGTGTCCTAATGCCACCATCCCCCATGGATGGCACAGCACTGGGGACTCATCCCTGCCCTGGGGGTCACAGAGCTGGGGTGCTGGGGTGCCAGACTCTTTGAGAGTGTCCCCTGCGGGTGGCACAGCATTGGGGTCTCATCCCTGCCCTGGGGGTCACAGAGCTGGGGTGCTGGGGTGCCAATACACCCTGAGTGTCCACTGTGGATGGCACAGCACTGGGGACTCATCCCTGCCCTGGGGGTGACAGAGCTGGGGTGCTGGGGTGCCAGCACAGCCTGAGTGTCCCCTGTGTCCCCTGTGGATGGCACAGCACTGGGGTTTTGTCCCTGCCCTGGGGGTGACAGAGCTGGGGTGCTGGGGTGCCAGCACAGCCTGAGTGTCCCCGCTGTGGCACAGAGCTGCGAGGCCATGTGGCAGCAGTGCTCGCTGCAGATCTCCAACGCCATCCAGTACGTGGTGGAGTTCGCCAAGCGCATCGACGGCTTCATGGAGCTCTGCCAGAACGACCAGATCATCCTCCTGAAAGCCGGTAAGGGGGGGAGCCCCACCGCCCCCCTTGCATCCCTGACACCCCCCTTCGTGTCCCCACTGTCCCCCTCCCACCCCCAACACCTCTCCTGAGCGGCAGCCGTGGGGCCAGAGGCAAATCCCATCTTTTCTCTTGGCTGGTGCTTTCCTTGTGGGGTCCCCTCCCGGCTGCCCCAGTTCTCCCAGTGCTGGGGGAGCAGGTGCTGGGCTGGAAGGAGCTGAAGGTCACGTCTAAGGGTGATGGTGAAGGGGGGCACGTGGGGAGTGGCTGCCTTGGGCAGAGGCTTCATCCAAATGTCACCCAGAAACTGGGATGGAAATGAGAACAGAAGGTTTTCCTCTGGGAGAAGGGGTGCCAAACTCAAACAGGAGCAGGGAGGATTGAGAGAGAAGGATTGGCCTCTTCTCCCAGCAAGAGACTGGGAAGAGGAGGATGATGGCAGCACACACCCACGTCCCCCACCCTTCCATCTGCCCAAGCTGGCAATGCCGTGCCCAGGCCAGGGAGCTGAATGTGCAAAATCCCCAAAACACTGGGAAAACCTCATAGTTTCTAATCTGTCAGAGCTGGGGAGCTGAGATTAGCACCCAGCCCTGGGGACACGTGCCAACGTCCCAGCGGGATGCTGTACCCCAAAGCCAGAGCTGGCTGTGCCTGACGCGCTGGAGTTTAACTCATTCTTTCATTTCTTCCTTCCATTTTCTTTTTATTTATTTTGTTTTCACCCTTTCCTCTCTCTCGGTGCTCCACCACGACCTCGGTCTCTTTGTGCCTGGCTGCGAATGACTGGATAATATTTCCCTTTGGTGAAATATTGTGGTCACAATTGGACACCTAAAAAAACCCAACCAATCCCAAAAACCCAAACTGGATTTGTTGAAATACCCATTCTTCTCTCGGGAATGAACAATCTGGACCTCAAACGTGCACTGGGGGCTTTCCTCTTTCTTACATTTGGTCCTGGGGTGATGGAAACCCCCCTGACCTTCCCCACCCTGCCCTGCCCTGCCCTCGTCTGCGCTCTCTCTGCCTACATCAGGTTGCCTCGAGGTGCTCCTGATCCGCATGATCCGCGCCTTCAACCCCTTGAACAACACCATCCTCTTCGAGGGCAAGTTCGGTGGGATGCAGGTGTTCAAATCTCTCGGTAAGGGCTTGAGCTGGCCCTCCCTTCTCCTCCCTTCTCCTCCCTTCTCCTCTCTTCTCCTCCCTTCTCCTCCCTTCTTCTCCTCCCTCTTTCTCCCACTTTCTCCTCCTCCTCCTCCCCTATCCTCTGTTTTCCCTCTCCCTCCCTGTCCCTGTCCCTGTCTGGAACCCAGTCAAGGCTGGAATTTGCCAGGTGAGTGCCCAGGACCCCCCTCCATCCATCTCCTCTCCCAAAACCTTTCCAAGCCCCAGGTGCCACTGGGCTCTGCTGGTGGGTGGGCAGAGCGGTGACAGTGACAGTGACGTGTCCCTGCTGTCCCCTGCTCAGGCTGTGACGACCTCATCGGTGCTGTCTTCGAGCTGGGGAGGACCCTGTGCCGCCTGCAGCTGTCGGACGAGGAGCTCGCCCTCTTCACTGCTGCTGTCCTGCTCTCCCCAGGTACTGGGGGGCCCCACGTCTGGGGGTGTCCTGTGGGGAGAGCTGACCCCATAAAAACCTTCCTTGGTGGATGATTTCAGTTATTCCTGGGAAAGGAACTTGGGGGGAAAATGCATCTAAAGGTGGACAAAATGCATCTGTCAAATTTCCTTGGTGGGAAGAGGAACAGTGTCACCCAGGGTGGGGTGGGGAGCAGAGAGAGGAGCCAAGTAACCCCAAAACCATCCTGGAGAGCAGGGAGGGCTAAAAAAGCCAGGGGCAACTGCCCTGTGCTTAGGAGAGACCCTGTGGTGGCTCTGCCCCTGTGGTGACTGGTCCTGTGGTTGTGGGAACTGGATTAGCCTCTAATAGTTACAGCATTCTAATAGTTAGCTTCTAATTGTGATAGAATTAGAACATATATATTGTCTCACCCTTACATAGGACTAAAAATAAAATAAAAGTTCTTAAAACGCCTCTCTGTTGCCCCATCTGTAAGTCAGAAAAGAACTTAATCCAGCAAGGGGTGACTCTGTCCTTCCTCTCCCGCAGACCGCCCATGGCTGACCGAGTCCAAGAAGGTGCAAAAGCTCCAGGACAAGATCTACGTGGCCCTGCAGCACGAGATCCAGAAGAAACACTCCGCTGAGGACAAGCTCTCGAAGGTAGTGGCACAGGAAACCCGGGCAGGGCTGCAGGGGGTGTCTGAGCTGGGGGACAGGGCTGTGCCAGAGCTCACGAACCACACGGGCATTTTGGAGAGAGAGACCCCAAACCTGTCAGAGAAGGAGAATTTTTACTTCCAAGGGCTGTGAATCCCCATTGTGGTGCAGGCAGAGGCAGCACTGTGCTGCTGAACCTGGCAGTACATCAGGAAGTGGGTTTTTTTAGGTAAAAGGAGCCATTTTGGGAATGTTTTGACCTGTACAGAGCTGGGGTTAGGAGGAGACCCCCGTGGAAAGATGTGGGTTTGGGGGTGAGGCCAGGTTGCTGCCAGGCTGGTGGCAGTCTGGGCACTCTGCTGATGCCCCAGTGTCAGGCAAAGCCAGTGATCCCCAAACCCACCCCCTGTGCCCAGGGAAGGGGGAACAGCAGCGCAGGGGACACCAAGTGATCCCCAAACCCCCCTGCTTGTCCCCAGGAGAGGGGGAACAGCAGCATCAGGGCCACCACAGCCAGCATCCCCGTGGTCACCAGCTCCTTCTCTCCCTGCAGATGGTTTCCAAGCTGCCCTTGATGAAGACCATTTGCAACCTGCACTTGGACAAGCTGGAATTTTTCCGTCTCCTGCACCCGGAGACTGCCATGAACTTCCCCCCCCTCTATAAGGAGGTTTTCAACTCGGAGCTTCAGTACAGCGACCCCCGGGAGAGCTAAGGCCAGGAGCCAGCGGCCCCCTTCGAGTTCCCCAAAATTTGGAGACAAACTGCACTTCAGAGGTTTGGGGCAATTTATTTAAATCAAATAATCAAAGGCAAGAGAACCCCGAGGGGGGCTGCGGCGCCTCCCTGGCCCCGTCTCCTCGCTGTGGATTGCAATAGCTCTTGAATGTAAAGCACCTTGAAGGAAAAAGCAAATGGACTTTGCCATACCAGTGAAATGAATGTGAAATCTCTGCTTGGGAGAGGAGATGCTCCTGGCAGTGGTGAGGGACCGGCTGCTCCCGGTGACACGGGAGGAGGGAGTGCCCTTCCCGCTGTCCCGGCTGCACTCTCCACCTCCCATTTTTATTTCTTTGTTTTTTAATTATTATTTTTATTTTATTGTGGTTTTTTAACCCGAACATCAGGCATGGGATAAAGAAGGGGCGATGCTGACTCGGCCGGGTCGGGTTGGGGCTGCAGCTGAGGAGAGGGAAAGGACAGAGCCTTTGCTTTATTTCATCTCCCACGGGTGCAGCGGAACCCCGGGAGCTTGGCCAAGAAAGGTCTGCCTGTGGCTGGTGGGGGATTCAGCACAGGATTTTCCTGTGGGGGAAGCTGGTTTGAGGGAAAAGATGCCCAGTGTAGCAGGGCAAAAATTGTGCAGGGTCTCCATGCCCTGCATCACAGCATTTTCCCAAATTCCCAGCCAGTTCCTTGTCCAGCTGGGTGACCACCTGACTTTGTGGAGCTGGTTCAGCAGGTTCGTCTGCCTCGTGCCACCTCTGTGCATCCCAAAAGCTTTTGCAGGCCTGTGGGACTTCAGCCAGAGCCCAAATCCTGGCCATCCCACCCCAGAGGCACCCGTGGCCACTGGAGGGGCCCATGGCTGTCCCTGTCCCCGTGGTGGCCGCAGCAGTGGTGGCTCTCTGGGTGCTGCTGTTGTGTGTAGTTCTCTTATCAATCCCATTCAAACTGCCCCATGGTTCAGCACCCAGAGCAGGGTTTGTGACCTTTTCTCCACCCAGCCCACAGCTGGTCCCATTCCCAGGTTCCCCTTTCCCACACCACACACAGGAGCCCAGATGTGGCTGCAGGTTGAGTTGGACCCAGGCTTTCCCCTCAAGGAGCTCCCTAGAACTGTTATTTTGGGAGTTGCTCTTGAGTTAGCAGGATTTAGGAGCTTTTTAGGGGGAGAAACTGCCTGTTGGAGCCAAGGGGAAGTGAAAGGTCCTTATTCCCTTCAAGGAGTAAGGCTGGTTGGAAGGAATGTGGTGTTAGGGACCTGCTGCTCCTCTTGGGAGGCTCAAAAGGCGATGAAGGAAGGATTGGTGGGATGATGCTGTTCCAGGCCACGGCAGCAGGGGATGCTTGAGAGACTCTGTGGCTCTGCAGATGGATTTTTCCATCCCTGCTCCTGCTCCCATTGCAGCAAATGCCAAAAACCTACAAGGGAAAAATCTGCTCCGAGGCAGCCCCAGTTTCTGCTGACAAAGGGCTAAAATCCCAAACCCCTTTCCTGCTTTGTGCTGATTCCTTGTGCACCCAACCCCATCCTCGGGCAGCTCGGACCATCCCCGAGCAGGAGCCAAAACCTTTGGATCCATAACTGCACCCTTCAAACTAAACAAGCAGCTTTTCTAGCAACATGAAGGATATTCCTGCTTTTGTAAAAAGACCTCCTAGGGAAGACCATGGACTAACCTTGACGAGGGAAGACTCCCCAGGAAGCTGATGGGATTTCTGCTCCGCTCCAAGGCAGAGGGAATTTGGGACCGCGTTCCTCCCCGGCAGCTGCCACGCGCAGCCCTGAGCTCCCTGGCTTTGCTGACCACATCCCAACTGCTTCTGGGAGTAGATTGGAGCCTGCCAGCCTCGGTCCCCTCTCCGCTGGAGCCAGGTCTCTGGGAAAAGGCTGCCGGCCCTCCCACGGCCCCACGCCACGTCCAGTGCCAATGCGTCGCTGTCCAGCGCAGCGTCCACGGCGTGGGGATGTGCCCGGCTCCTCTCCTGCCCTCTCCAAAGCTTGGACAGAAGAGAGAAGTCAGTGCTGCCTTTTACGTCCAGAGGGTTGTGCCTTTTTTTTTTTTTTTGGAAGCATCATTTCCGACAGCACCGTTCACTTCCCGGGAAAAGCGGCCCCAGAAGGTGACTGCGCTCGGAGGGAACAGCCCGTGGGGGTTTGGGAACGTTTGGGGAAAAACAGAAATTAAAAAAAAAAAAAAAGCACACACCCTTCTTTTTGCCCTCAGTATTTGTCAGACAACCCAACACACACCAATGGTCAACGCCACCGACTTCATTTCATCCGGCAAAGAACCCAGGAAAGCACCTTAATTTGGGAACATCACAGCGTCCAGCCCATGGGGAGAGATTCTGGATTATTCTGAGCAATAAGAGCCCCCCCGTGGGAACCTAGGGAAGACTGGAAGTATTAAACACGTGTAACTCGACCTGCCAAACTGCAGGAACCTGCACTTTTCAGTTCTCTTTAGAGGAACCGACTTGATTAGATGATTTTTTGGGAGGGGATAAAGTGATTGGGTGTCGATTCAGTGATTCCTGGCCTGGGACGGGTGCCACGCGTGGAAAGGGATGGCAAGGGGTGGAAAGGGATGGCAAGGGATGGCAGCCCCTGCCTGGGGCTTGCCAGGGCTGTGCCAAGGTTCCTCACCCCTGCTGGGCCACCCAGAGCTTGGAGCTCGCAGGGAAAGGGCGAACGACAAAGCCTGGGCAGAAATGCCCGAAAAAGGGAGATTTCCCTCTCCCCTGTGGCCAGGGGGGAGGGGGCCCGGGAGCCCCGAGCCCCCCGTGGCTCTGGTGCTCTGGAGACGTTCCCATCCCAGCACGGGATGTTCCTTTCCAACAGCCCTGGGCAGCCATGGCTCCTTTCCAGACCAGATTAATTTAGTGTTTGTTTGTCTGCTCTGGCAGTTTAGCTGAGTGTCCATTTCCACCCACAGAACCCTCACACTGTGTATAAAGATGGATCAAAAATATATATAATATATATTCTTGTGAATGTTGGTGGAAAAGAGAAAAATATATAAAGTTTCAGTCGGCTTTATGTTATTTTTTATCTCTATGAATGAAAGGAAGAAATGGAAAACCTTTTATTTCCATTGACCACCCCTCCACACACACCTACCTGTAGATACCAACAGGTTTTATGGAAATGTTTTACTTTTTAGATTTAGGAAAATGCTTCTGTTCTCATTGAATGTTCTGTCTTGTAAGATTGTAATTTCTATTTTTTTAAAGAAAAGAAAATAACTAAATAAAATTTCCTCTTTCAGACCAGTCAGCTTAGGAAGGGAGGGCAGGGGAGGGAGAAACGTTTATTTAAGGACAAAAACTGTTGTTGGAATTTTTCATAACATTAAATAAAAAGTAATATAATGTATGGATGACAACCTTTTTACTGAGGTGTGTTCTGTGGGTACATAGATGTATATTGCACAAAATTTACAGGAAGAAAAATAAAGTCTGTTTCACAAGGTAAAAAAAAATACATATATATATAATGTTGGAAATAATGATTTTATATTTTAGCAAAGAATGAGAGTGGAAGTGAATCCCTCAAAGTGATGGAAAAGCTTTAATTTCTTCCATGGGTTAAAGACTGAGCTGTATCAGAATCCCAGAATTATTTGGGTTGGAAGGGACCTCAAAGCCCACCCAGTGCCACCCCTGCCATGGCAGGGACACCTCCCACTGTCCGAATCTCTGCTCGGGGTGCACACAGGTCAAAGGGATCACTGGGTGTGAAGCCACATCCTCGTTTCCTTCTGCTTCCCCTGTGAGCCTCACCTGGGTGTCCATTCCCAGGTCGGGGCTGTGTCCCCTGCAGGTCACGGCTGTGTCCCCTGCACACAGCTGGGCTGCCCAGGAGCTGTGGGGCACAGGGAAACAACAAAAAGGGATCCTTGGAGCAGCAGGGTCAGACAATGCCAGCTCCCACTGCTGCCCTCGGCCATCCCAGGGGACAACACAGCTCCTCCTCCTCCTCCTCCTTCCCACCCATCTGGGGTTCAGATATTGCGGGATAAACCCTGGGCAAAGCAGGGCACCGCTTGTGGAGATGTTGGGAAAGGCCATCACCCACTTTGGGGTTCCTGGGGTGTCCAGGGAACTGCTGTGTCCCATGTGGGAGCTCCAGACCCTTGGCTTGCTGCACACTGACATTTTGGCTTTCATTTTAAAAAATATTTGTTTTCATATTATTTTAAAATTATTTTTATTATGTTTTTTGTTATTTTTAAAAATTCCACCCCACCCCCCCAAAAAAAAATAAAATCCTGTTTCTTTGGTGTATTTCGGGAAAATAAAATAAAATAAAATAATAAGTTAAAGCGTGGCAAATCCATTTAAAAATCACGTGTGAAGAGCTGCTCTTTAAACAAAAAACAAACAAACAAAAAAAAATAACAAAAATAAAATGTTCAGGGAAAATGGCTGCAGGGGAGAAGCTGGGAATTCTGCAGCCCGGGCTCAGGAGGGACAGGATCCCACGGGACAGGGACAGGAGTTTGGGGTGGCCGCCCCAGTAGCGCTCCCTGTTTCACTGGTCCTGCAGCACTGGATTTACTGGGGCCGAGTGACCTCTGCTGGTTCACACCCAAAATCTGCCCTGCGTGGCGAGGATCCGGAGGGATTCCAGGGCAGCTCGGCGTGCTTTGGGGAGAGTTCCGGGCAGGTTTTCACAGAGGTCTCAGCATTCTCAGCAAGGAGGGATGAGCCTGACACTGCTGGAGCTGGCAGGGACAGAAAGCACGGCCCCAGCGCTTGGAAATGGCTTTGAAAGGCCAGCTGGGGTTTGATACACCCGAATTAATAGGATTTGCAGAGCTGGGACCTTGCAGAGGGATCCCTGCTATATTAAGGAGTCTAATGTGGTGAAAATAAGGACTTAAGGAGCTCCAGAAGTGCTCAGGCTGGAAGGGACCAGAAAAAAAAATTAAAGAAACAAAATAAAATTCCTCTTTTAGACCAGGCAGCTTAAGAAGGGAGGGCAGGGGGAGGAAGAAATACTAATTTAAGGACAAAACTGTTGTTGGAAATTTTCATTACATTAACTATAAAGTAACATAATGTATGGGTGACAACCTTTTTACTGAGGTGTGTTCTGTGGGTACATAGATGTATATTGCACAAAACATACAGGAACAAAAATAAAGTCTGTTTTATGAAGTAAAAAAAGTTAAAAAAAAAAAAAGTAAAGTAAAAAACCCCCACAAACAACTAATAATGTTGGAAAGAGTGATTTTAAATTTTTGCAGAGAGTGAGACTGAAAATGAATCCTTCAAGATTTTGGATTGGAAAAACTTTAATTTCTTCTGTGCTCTCAGGACCGAGCTGTACCAGAATCACAAAATGGTTCGGGTGGGAAGGGACCCCAAAGCCCACCCAGTGCCACCCCTGCCACGGCAGGGACACCTCCCACTGTCCCAGGCTGCTCCAAGCTCTGCCCAGCCTGGCCTTGGGCACTGCCAGGGATCCAGGGGCAGCCACAGCTGCTCTGGGCACCCTGTGCCAGGGCCTGCCCACCCTCACAGGGAACAATTCCTGCCCAAGATCCCATCCAGCCCTGCCCTCTGGCAGTGGCAGCCATTCCCTGGGTCCTGTCCCTCCAGGCCTTGGCCCCAGTCCCTCTGCAGCTCTCCTGGAGCCCCTCCAGGCTCTGCAGGGGCTCTGAGCTCCCCTGCAGCCCTCTCTCTGCCCGGTGAACGTCCCCGCTCTCCCGGCCATGTCCCGGCCCCCTCAGCAGCTCCCCCGGGCGGGCGCGGTCCCGGTACCTCAGACAATTCTGTCCCTCCCGGCTGCCGTCCCGCGCCACCGCCCCTCCCCTCCGCCCAGTCCCTCACATGATAGCGGTGGGTGCGCGCCGCGAGGCACTCTGGGAATTGTAGTTTACAGCGCGGAGCGCGCAGCGGCGGCGGTGACTGGCGGGACTCTGTTTCCCGGCACGCCCCGCGGCGACCCGGGGGGAGCGGGACCGGGCGCTCGCTGAGGTGGGCGCGGGGGGATCGGGCCGGGGGCAGCGGGCGGGCCGGGGGCGACACGGGCTGAGGGATGGGGGAGAGGGGGGTCGGGGAGGAGAAGCGCGTCTGGGGGGAGCCGGGGGCCGGGAGAGGGAGCTGAGGGTCGGGGGG